CTCCACGTCGCCACACACATTCACTTCACGTACCACTTACTTACTTACTCACTCACTCACTCACTCACTCACTCACTCACTCACTCACTCACCACCACAACTCACACAATAAAAACACACAAATTAAACCCGATCAACATAATTACACTCACCATTCCATGCAATTACATACAACCATGAATCTATCTGCTTAACGATCTAACACTACCAAGTCACAATTGTCTTAACTCGGACCGGTCACTCAATTCAATCATGTACATCATAACGGAAATTCTTACCCAATCTAGCTGTTCTCTCGTCGGAAAACAACACACTCGTCTTCGCACATCACTAAACACTTATCACAACTACAAAACATCGTAGCTAACACTCTACAAATCAACTCGTCAAACAAACAAACAAACAAACAAACACACACACACACACACTAACACACAAAATATCTCAATGTGACCAAACAAATACTCAAAAGCAACATAACTATCACAATACCCAACACAACATCAATACTCATGAATCACGTCCCACACTAACAACAACAACAACAACAACAACAACAACAACCCACACTACCAAAAGATTTAACAACAAATAAAGTGTCAAAAATCAACAATTACCTCTGTCAGGAGAACTGATCGATCGAGAAGAAACTAGTGAATTCAAATCGCCATTCATTGACATCGATTTCTCTGAAAAAAATTCACCGATTAACAAACACACATCAGTTGAGTCTGATACTATCACGTCGAAACAATGAAAGGTTACTAAGGAAAGTTTCGGATGCACATTTTCTACAAATAGCATCCAAAACATAAATATACAACTTCAACTCCCAACACAAACACACAAAACTCATCAAAACCAATATGTACACTTCTGCACAACCACATAAAACTCCATACATGTTTCAATGCACTCACCTTCTTCATCACCCTCCGTCAATTTCGGATCCATCGCCGTCAACACGCACACAGCTTTAGATTCACCCACTGTCAAAACAGAACACCCTGAAACGGTGCTCGCATCTCCGTTCACTGATCCTAAAACAATACAACCCATAATCAATATCAATAAAACAAGTCGTTCCTAACAAATAACACTCAACTGAACATCTACGAAAATATATCAAAATTACCTTTCTCAACTATGGGCTCTGCTAACACAGACTCGCTCAATCTCAATGGGGAAAACGATTCTGAAAGTATACAAAAACAATTACACAAAATGTTAAATGCTCATCATCACATCGATAACAAACACTCCACTGTCACATTCACAGTAACATTGAATATAATCATCAACGCAAGCACCAATATGACAAGCGAAACACAACACCCACATTATCACATAGACAAATATCCTAAACAAAACAAATATCAACCTTCTTATTCAACCCTCCACCACATAAACACTGACTACTCACATCCACCAACCACATAGAAACTCAATATCACACTTACCACCACTCCCCACATTCCCTCTGACCGTGCCTCTTCTCCCACGCCGTCTACCCACCATCATCTACAATAGAAACAACAACAACAGAAACAATATTATTCGTAATCATAATCATAGCCACACCAACAACATCTACAACGCACTAGCTTCCCTCATACACCACCACCACCACCACCACCACCACCACCACGACCACTACCACCACTACCATCAACGGAAATACAACAGAAACACACAATTATTCCCATATAAATTGAATACTGAAAGCTTCACTAAAACCAAACTCACCGGGACAACCGCACCCACAGGCTCCACTGTTCCACCTGAAATTAAAAACACACAAGTTAATACTCTACAAATATTCAACAAAACACAATATTATACTTTCACCAAAACCACAGTGGTTCACCTCATCCAATAAAGCAGTGCTCCACGTCGCCACACACATTCACTTCACGTACCACTTACTTACTTACTCACTCACTCACTCACTCACTCACTCACTCACTCACTCACCACCACAACTCACACAATAAAAACACACAAATTAAACCCGATCAACATAATTACACTCACCATTCCATGCAATTACATACAACCATGAATCTATCTGCTTAACGATCTAACACTACCAAGTCACAATTGTCTTAACTCGGACCGGTCACTCAATTCAATCATGTACATCATAACGGAAATTCTTACCCAATCTAGCTGTTCTCTCGTCGGAAAACAACACACTCGTCTTCGCACATCACTAAACACTTATCACAACTACAAAACATCGTAGCTAACACTCTACAAATCAACTCGTCAAACAAACAAACAAACAAACACACACACACACACACACTAACACACAAAATATCTCAATGTGACCAAACAAATACTCAAAAGCAACATAACTATCACAATACCCAACACAACATCAATACTCATGAATCACGTCCCACACTAACAACAACAACAACAACAACAACAACAACAACCCACACTACCAAAAGATTTAACAACAAATAAAGTGTCAAAAATCAACAATTACCTCTGTCAGGAGAACTGATCGATCGAGAAGAAACTAGTGAATTCAAATCGCCATTCATTGACATCGATTTCTCTGAAAAAAATTCACCGATTAACAAACACACATCAGTTGAGTCTGATACTATCACGTCGAAACAATGAAAGGTTACTAAGGAAAGTTTCGGATGCACATTTTCTACAAATAGCATCCAAAACATAAATATACAACTTCAACTCCCAACACAAACACACAAAACTCATCAAAACCAATATGTACACTTCTGCACAACCACATAAAACTCCATACATGTTTCAATGCACTCACCTTCTTCATCACCCTCCGTCAATTTCGGATCCATCGCCGTCAACACGCACACAGCTTTAGATTCACCCACTGTCAAAACAGAACACCCTGAAACGGTGCTCGCATCTCCGTTCACTGATCCTAAAACAATACAACCCATAATCAATATCAATAAAACAAGTCGTTCCTAACAAATAACACTCAACTGAACATCTACGAAAATATATCAAAATTACCTTTCTCAACTATGGGCTCTGCTAACACAGACTCGCTCAATCTCAATGGGGAAAACGATTCTGAAAGTATACAAAAACAATTACACAAAATGTTAAATGCTCATCATCACATCGATAACAAACACTCCACTGTCACATTCACAGTAACATTGAATATAATCATCAACGCAAGCACCAATATGACAAGCGAAACACAACACCCACATTATCACATAGACAAATATCCTAAACAAAACAAATATCAACCTTCTTATTCAACCCTCCACCACATAAACACTGACTACTCACATCCACCAACCACATAGAAACTCAATATCACACTTACCACCACTCCCCACATTCCCTCTGACCGTGCCTCTTCTCCCACGCCGTCTACCCACCATCATCTACAATAGAAACAACAACAACAGAAACAATATTATTCGTAATCATAATCATAGCCACACCAACAACATCTACAACGCACTAGCTTCCCTCATACACCACCACCACCACCACCACCACCACCACCACGACCACTACCACCACTACCATCAACGGAAATACAACAGAAACACACAATTATTCCCATATAAATTGAATACTGAAAGCTTCACTAAAACCAAACTCACCGGGACAACCGCACCCACAGGCTCCACTGTTCCACCTGAAATTAAAAACACACAAGTTAATACTCTACAAATATTCAACAAAACACAATATTATACTTTCACCAAAACCACAGTGGTTCACCTCATCCAATAAAACAGTGCTCCACGTCGCCACACACAATCACTTCACCTACCACTGACACGATGAGCGTGATTGCACTCAATGTCCTGTTTGATGGCATGGTAATCGTTAGTTTTATCTTATATATCTGTACATGTTTTACCATCAAGTTTTTTTTGTTGATATATTTGTTTTTCTTGTTGTTTTTTTTATTTACGCAATTTTTTTCTGGTCAAATGCGTGAAGGTATTTTTATTAAGGAAATAGAATGTGCATTTATTAGCATCACTTTAAACTGAAAATTTAGTTATAAACCTATGTTTTGTATGTATGTCTACCAAAGCAGTTTATTTGAATTTAAGTCGTCAAAAGATGATCGTGTTTTCGAACAACTTTTTCATTTCAATCTAGAATGAAGGCTGTTGTTTAGAAAATACAAATCCATTTTGTTTGATCAAAGATATATTTATGAGAAATGAAAGTCATTCATCTTTTTTATCAAATATTGTCGCTTGGTATCGCTGTCTGCTTCTAGGTTATTATGAAATGGCAGTTTTAATTTATTTCATAGGTGTTAAATTATCTTTTATCTCAAGAAGTTAAATTCATTCCTGTAGTTCATCTGTCGTACGATCGTCGGATAATGAGATCCTACTACCATTAACTCAGTTTTTTATTTCCATCACTGTTCAATAAATGATTTGTGTATACTAAAACATCTTCATTACAACTCTACCTAGTTGAGTAATTTAATAATATTAGACATTATTGACGTACTTGGCTACAAAGATATTGAGTAAATTCTTATAAACTCACCTATAGTATAGATAGGTGTTAGATGTAGACTTTGAAATGAAGCAATCATTTCCCTTAATTGAGAATTAAGTATAATATAATTTTCGAGTCTTAATACTTTCAAATAAATTGAGCGTTAGATAGATTTTTCATATTAAATAAGCAATATACTGTGATAAACTAATCAGTGGTGAAACTGGATTTCTGACATTTTGCAGCACAATGCAAGTGGCTTTTAGAAATAATAAACAACCACTTTATGTAATTAACTATTCAATTACTTGTAGGAAAAATATAAGGAACACAAAAAAACTTACTTTCAATACTTGACGTTTGAAGTAATCCTGATTGATCTAACCGAAATGGTGAAATGGATGCTGAAAAAAAACAAGAACTCTAATTCAGTAGTATAGATGAATGTATCTAAATACATGACAGATAAGTTGTTTGGCGTTTTGATGATTCGATAAAACGGGAAATTAGTTGGACAATGAATAAAATGCATTAAAACAAGCTACGAAAACTTGAAAAACAGACTTACAACAATTCAAAAAATTTTGCTTCCCACGTCTTCGTCGACCTCGGAGTTTACGAACAGCCACCTAAGCATCACATTGAGAAAAAAAGTTTTTAAAAGGAAATGGGAAACATTTAAATCAGGCTTGAAAACATACTCTAGTTACTTCATATAGTTTACCTACAGGCCAACTATTGTACATTCAGTCAGCTACAACGTAAGACCAGGCACATATGTTTATCCGTCCAAGTTACCACACCTACTTAGCACAAGATGAACACCAAATTCATAGAAGTAGTTGCTTCAATGGTAATAAAAAAATTGTGGGGAAAGAACTAATTCGTAGAAAGGAAGGTACGAAGTAACTCCGCCCGGAGTCCCTCTGGGGGCTACTGCCAGTCCCCAGCCCGGATAAAGGAGGAGGGTTGGGCATGGGGTTAGCGTCCCCATCCCGTAGAAAACTAACTCGCTAAAAAAACGCTAACCAGAAAAATTATTCAAACCTTTTAAACTCTGCCCTGGGAGTCAGGTCTTCATTTAGAAGAATTATGACGCCTCATGATGAAAGCCGAATCCCTTCGGAAGTTACGAGGCCGATGCCCCTTCTGACAACCAGAGCGACCATTTGTTTAGGTACATGGAATGTTCGTACAATGTGGGACACCGGGAGAGCCTTCCAAATTGCTGCAGAAATGAGAAGATACAACCTAGAGGTACTTGGGATCAGTGAAACACATTGGACACAAGTTGGACAACAACGACTAACCACAGGAGAGCTCCTGTTATACTCCGGCCATGAAGAAGAAAATGCACCACATACACAAGGAGTTGCATTGATGCTGTCCAAACAAGCGCAAAATGAGCTTATAGGATGGGAATCTCATGGATCAAGGATCATCAAAACCTCATTCAAAACAAAGAAAGAGGGCATTTCAATGAACATTATCCTATGCTATGCGCCTACCAACGACTACAATGAAGACGCTAGAGATCAATTCTACAATAGGCTGCAGTCAATCGTTGAGAAGTGCCCAACAAAGGACCTGACCATTCTGATGGGAGATTTCAACGCCAAGGTTGGAACGGACAACACTGGATATGAAGACATAATGGGACGACACGGACTGGGAGAAAGAAACGAAAATGGTGAGAGATTTGCAAATCTATGTGCCTTCAATAAGCTGGTTATAGGCGGCACCATATTCCCACATAAACGCATACACAAAACCACATGGACTTCACCGGATCACTCTACACAAAACCAAATCGACCATATTTGCATCAACAAAACGTTCAGGAGGACTATAGAGGACGTGAGAACCAAGAGAGGAGCTGATATAGCATCACATTATCAATTGATTTACCATCATTTCCTAATACCCTGTGTCTAACCTCACTATTACTTATCCGTTGGTCCCAGTAGATGCGAGCAATACTTCTAAGGCATCTGTGGTCAGATACTAGTAGCTTACGAATATCTTCAACTCTTAATGACCACGTTTCGCAACCTTAAAGTAAAACAGAACGAACTGCTGTGCAGTATACCCTTCCTTTAATTGATAGATGGATATTTCACCTTCACCATAGGTGATGTAAGTTGGTAAAAGCCAAACGAGCTTTCTGGATCCGTGGAGAGATTTCGTTAAACGCCAACCCATTAAGGTTGATCAGACTTCCAAGATAAATGAAGTTGAAGACACATCCGACAACTTCATTCCTTACCCTTGGTTCAGGTGTTGACGCAGGCCAGTCCTAAAGCAACAATTTGCATTTAGAGGGAGAGAAACGTATCCTGGTATTGTTTCTCAGTGTTACCAAAAGACTCTGCATTTTATCAGCGCCTTCACCAAACAGGACTATGTCATCTGAGTATTCTAAGTTAATAGGTGGACCTCCTGGTAGATCAATGCCCAAAAATTCAGATGACGAGAACGTTATTTCCAACCGTAGGTCTATGGTGGAATTGAACAAAAATGGAGATAATAGACAGCCTTTCCGGACACTACATGCGGTTACAAAGTCAGATGATAGTTCGCCATAAGCTCTGACTCGATTGGCAGTGTTCGAGTAAAGAGCCTTCACAAGGTTTATGTACTTCTGAGGTACGCCTTTTAATGACAGACACTGCCACAGAACCTCTCGGTCTACAGAGTCAAATGCTGCTTTTAAGTCAAGAAAAACTATAATTGTCGGACGCCGATAAGTATGCCTGTGTTCTGAGATCTGACGAATGGAGAATATGTGGTCGATGCAGCCACAACCAGGTTCAAAGTCAGATGACCGTTGCCACTACCTTGACATGGTGGTCGGGCTTGCCTATCGTGATGAACCAATCGGGCTATACTGGATGGAACTATCGTTTTTTCAAGGTCCTACCATGTCAGATAGGTAGATTGGGAAACGGTAAAACTATGACCAGCAAACCCAAGGTCCGAGGGCGAAGTCGTATTGCTGACCGTACATAGATGTGACGGCAGTAAGGTATTTCCCTCACACAACCAGTATAAAAGCGATGCTGCCTTCCCATAAAAGAAGAGTGGAGTTAGAAAAGGTCGACCCTAAAAATGCACACTTCACCTTATTACACAGATTTCCGCCTCCAACGGTTAGGCATCAACAGTTACGGAGTTAACACAAAAATGTATGTAACCGGCCTCGAGAGTTTGTACCATGGTCACTGCGGTCAAGCTCTCAGGTCACTAAGACCAACTCTAATCCGACTTCCTTTTCAAGTACCTCTAGACTATTGTACATTCAAAAATGATGTATCAAACTCATCTTTAGGGGCTAGTAAATTCCACTTAATTAGGATCTGATAAAATTTGCATTCCCTATAAACGTGGGTTGATAAATGACAACGGAGACGGGATGATATAAATTTATTTTGTTTCAGGAAATAACAGGTCAAGAGAAGTCTAAACAAAGATTAAATATAGTACACAATTTCTGCACAAAGTCACAAGCCTAGAAATAAATGAAGTTTATGTGGTGAAAGGTTGTTATTTGACGTCTATAAAGTTACATCGCAGTAAAAATTAGTTCCATAGGCAATTCAAACATTAATTTTGAACATGGATAACCTTAATAATCACCTAATTCTATGCTAAATAATGTGGCGTGACGAAACCAAAAGCTGGTAAAGTAAGCAACTCGAAGGTCAGCAAACCAAAATAATACCTTACCCTAACCCTATCAAAATAGATAACCAACACACATAGTTTATGAGCAGAAATGTGAAACTTCACATAGAGATGTCTCGAGCAGATAAATTGCTATTGTCGTATGCTAATAAATTTTGACAAAATGTATCATGGTAAGAACAAATAAAAGCAGAAATTGTGGTTTTCGGCCTACTCAAAAACAATTACAACACAAAAGGATATCGTATTTTTGAAGGCACGCAATAAAATGAAGACGTTAGTTAGGAATACTTAATTAAATACATTAAAATAGCAGACAAAAATCCTCGGGTAGCTGCATGCCACTACACACTTACAGGATGAGCATCAGGTGATAAAAAAGATTCTGGAAGAAAAAATGGAAAGTCATAAAATATCTAAGATTTTATACAATAAGCAAAAAGCATTATCATTACTTTATTGTTTAAACACATAAACATAGGTACAAGGAGGCACCAAATAGATATGCGCCACATAAATCATTCGATTTGTGTGGGGGCCGGGATACTACCCGGGTGCCCAAACCAAAGAATATGGTTTGGGAATGCATCTCCTTACGATACTCCACTGTCTTGTGGATCAGACCTTCAGGTCGAAGGCTCGGGGAGTGGTACCCTAAGAAAACGACCTGCTTCGGTTTGGGCACCCGGGCAGTATCACAGTCCTCACACATATCGAATGAGATTTGTGTGGCGCATATGTATTTGGTGCCTCTTTGTACCAATACCTATATGTTGAAATAAATAAATCTCAATTTCGTAAACGACACCCACGCCGCGAGAAGACAGTGAGTAGGACTTCCTTCACAGTGGTTGTATGCACGTAGCCGTGTGAGAGCATTCCGAGATGGAGAGCTGACTCTCCCCACTCTCGACCATACCAGGGCACTTGAGGGCATCAGCGATCAATCATTTCATAGCTACATGCACGTTTCTTTCCATTATTTATTTGTTTTACCCCATACTGAGACTAATGATTTAACAGTCCTGCCCACAAATTTATGAAATTTTAGTGAATAACTTTGAGTTTTCATGTGTAGAGCTATCTAGGATTATATGATAGATGAAAACGTATAATGAATAACGTACCTAGTGTTATTCACTTTAATTCTTATTCAATTAACAAGCTGTGGGTTGTTCATTAAAGTCTTACCCAGGAATTTAAATTAGCGTCAATAAGATTCGACCTAACCGAGGCCCTGCTTTTGAATACGTTGTTTAAAGCATCGAATCACATTCCCACTAAATCATACAAAATTATAAAACAACGTAACTACTGCGTTTACGATAAAGATGTCAGTCGGGTCAACGAACAGTTGATCTAACCTCACCATCAAGTAAGTGCAACAAAATGTTATTATTTTTTCCCCTAAAAATAATACCGGTTGTGATGGAGCAAATATTGGATTTTGGAAAACGTGAAGTCAAAGGGAAAAACCAAGTTATAGCTTACTACGTACAAGTCAGTAAGCGGTATGAAATGTTGACCAATAGATACACTCATATGTCTTTCCTAGCTAAGAGATATTTGTGAATTGATTTTATTACCTGAACCTAGACTAGGTAACACCGTAAATCCACCATGGTTAGAATTATTCTATTATCAGATGTAACAATTCAAATAACAAACGGGACCGCGAGATGACAGCAACCGATGGTTAGAGACCCTGAATAACATGGCTCAAAATCGTTTGCAATGGCGCAGGTGCATACACTCTTTGTGTTCTCCCGAATTCTAATCTCCTGATTCTTCCTTGTCTCTTTTTCCTCTTCTCAAATTTATTTCACTGGATTATACTCTTTAAATAACATCTCCAAATCCTATTCTTCCCGACTACTGCTTATACTCTTACTACCTTTACCACTACGGGATTTGAATCGACAACTGGATCTCTGTGCTAATGTGGTATGGCAACTCGAACTGATGTACGTACGTACGAAGTTCTACGTTGTTACTGACTGACTGACATTAAGTCGAGTATCACATTTAACCATTTGATTTCTCAGCTCAGTGAATAACTGGGCACGAACGAACAAAATAACTATAAAATGTCCATATATAAAAGATACATACCCGCTAACATTGGTCGGTCCTCATGATTAAGATGAAAACTTGGCTTGCTGGGTGAGAGGACAAGTCTAGAATTTGACGAAACATTCTTTTCGCCGTCTATAATAACTGGTGAGCATGTTTTGCTGCTTGGAACGTCTGAAGTATGTAGTGACTGAAAGCAAGAATCAATTTTCTTCCTATCAAAAACATGGGTAAAACTGATCGCTTTAACAGAATTAGCAAAATGTTTCTTCAAACCTGATAGGCCATTGTGATACAAAAGTGTCTCACAAGATGACAATTCATCAAAATCACTAAATCCAGATAGGGCCATGGAAGACTGAAAATATCTGCTTTTAAGAGGCAGTATTTAGTTTGGAAGCAGGCCACCTGAAAATCGATAGAGAAATGTCTGATGAACCTTCGGAAACCGAATACAAAAACGGTTTAATGCGTTAAAAATAGGAAGCTGATTGATATTGTTTTAGCGCACTATCAAGCGGAGCTGAAAAATCTGAAATGTCGCAAATGGTAAGGTATGAGAAAAAAGGTGAGACTATAATTTACGGACGACCTTTGAGAGACGCCAGATTGACCTTTAGAGTGTCCACCTAATAACCAGGGTCAAATGAGGGTTACAAACCTTTGTGATGAATTAAAATTATGATTTACAGTTGATGATTAAGGTTGGAAATTAGATATAGGGTTTTCATCACGAACTGACACCAGCTATAATGCCAAAACTCTATTTATTCGAAGGAATGAGTGAAATCCGCGCCAAAATCCAAGATCTGTTATCTTATACATGGTTGGTTCGTCCATAAATTATAATTTCGCCGAAAAAAAGCAGTACAGTAAAATACCATTTATACACAATGACTGAGGGCTATATTTCATAAAAATATTCGAATTATGATTCGAGAAATGGCATAACAAAACCCAGATAACAGGGGTGAAAAAACGTGTTCATGTAAACACTCCGGATGGTACCATATGGCCCTGCAGGACGAGCTGTAGTGCTCAACCCAATCAGAAAGCCGGGATTGCTATAAGAGTAAATCCTCCAATGAGATGTGTATAAATTTTTTGCTTAACTAATTTCCGAATAGTTTTAGTCGGCCAACTAATCTATTGACCCTACTAAATGAACCACTTGTTCCTACCGTCTCGTAAATCCCGCCACAACCTTTTAGTTGTATTACTGAGTTATCTGAACAAGAAAAAGAAAACAATTTTCCTAACTCATCACATTTTTCTATGTTTCTCGTGCTCCTAAAAACGTTGTCACAGAAAACGTCTGTGAATTAAAAGACGGGGACTTAGCTGATTTTTCTGTACAGAGTAAATCTTTTAGTTTTTACTGTATACTAAGATGTAAAAACTTCTTTCATACTCATTTCAGTCAGATATTTCAGTTACAGTAACAAAGAATTCTGATCCTCTTGTGTTCAACGTTTATCACCTTTAGAATTTCAAAGAACACTTATTCTAGAAATCGGCTTCTTATTTGTTCTATAGAGGTAAATGTATCCTCAAGATAAACAATTCTGTGAGTCTTCACTATTGATACTAACCTCACTTGTTTAACGTCATACGCTCTAGCTGAAGTCGCTCGGCCACATCCACACCAGATCACGGGTGGGTACTCTGTGCTACGCATCCCTTAGACTGAACGCTTCTCGAAATACTGATAGCAGATGTCCGTTTTCGAGGAGGCAAAGAGTGTCACCATGAGTCCGGCTTAAGATTTTAATGAAAGCATTAACATACCTCCATAATGTAGCGGATAATAACTACACAGATTTAGGCATGGTTACAAGTAATAAAAAGAAGTATACTAATAAGGAACAAATGATAGGGAGCTCCAAGATATGTGAATCGACGGTTTCAGCTCCGGATTCCCATATCAACTCAAAAAAGGTCGGGGAGGAGCATAGCCTGAGCGATGTATGGGATGTGATTAAGAGGCGAAATGAGATCAGTGAGTGGCTTACAGTCATACCCGGATAATTAAGGAAACAGAGTGAGACTTGCACTTCTGACGCCAAATTAGACTGCAGGGATGGGAAGACTTTAGGAGACAAAACTTCACAGCTTGTCAAGACGTGTCTCGCTGAGAGGTCATTCATATTTTATATGTTAAAAGTGTCTTCCGGAAAGGAACAATAGGCTAGATTTGATCACGATCTAAGCTACATTAAGTTCCTATTAAACAAACTAATCTCAGAAACAGTTGTATGGGTTGTTATTAATAAGCTTTGTAGAGAAAGACAAGAAGCGGAATCTGAAATTGTGCAAAAAGGCCGCCTCTTTAAAGTCTCTCCATTTCTGTTGGAAAAAGAAGCTTAATACTGGGTAATTCGCGCAAGCTGACTGGATCCGAAATATATGTCCGTCATGATCTCATGCTGGTTGATCGTATTAAGACACGATCGGTAAAAGTAAAAATAAATTAGCACCGCTGAAACGGTGCGAAATACCTTATACACGCGGGAAAAAGTTTGGGGCAAGACGACCCCCTACCACTATAGATGGTACGGAAAAGTTTTTCACCGAGTTTAGGGTATTCCACACAGCCTATTAAATAAAAATGGCGGAGCTCAAAACTGTACAGAGCACAAAAATCCTTGATGTCACTACCATCTACGAAACGTGAATAACGAAAGAAGTGTATGATAGTTAAATTAAGTGGTTTGGTTTATTGCTTTGTAGGGATGGTAGACTAAACCGTGAGGGTAGCGGGTTTGTCCCGTACATGAAAAACACCGTCACCATACGAGCTGTCGAGACGGTAACACACGACTCAGGAACGTGTGAACTGGTGTACTGCCGACTGAAATGTAGAAGGCATGATATTAAGTTATTCGCAGTGTGACGGAAAGAAAACGAAAATTCCTTCAGAGCGTTTTGTTGAGTAGTAATGACAGTTATTTATTTATTTGCTCTGTCTTGTATTTCGACATCTATTCAGGTCTTGTCTCACCACACTTTGAGTCCTTTCAGTCATTCTCGTCTGACTCTGTTTATGTGGCCTTGGTTAAAGACCTGTAGTGGGACTTCGCCCTAACCACACAATCCTCAAAGCTGAACACGATACAAGTGGGAAAATAGATATTCAACATTTAAAGCAGAGAGAAACCCAACGATGGAGAAGGAGGGAGTAATTAATTCAATTAGTTCGAGTTGGTCGAATGGCGTGACTCGGCTTTGCCAGCGTGATCCTACTTATTTAACAGTCTTTTATCTATTTTAAATATAATGTTCTATCTCCAGCCTAAATGTGTTCTTCACCGTATTTGATCAGTACAATACGAATGAGTCAAGATAGATAATGCTGTGGTATCCAAGTAAAATCTTATAGATTAGGCAGATACATCATAATAAATCTACAAGTTTAGTATTAGGTCTATTATTAGAGCAGTACTAATATCATAGTAGATTATAATTCTACAGTCCTACCTTTTGTTACTTAACTAAACTGTTAGGTTTTGTCGGGTTATTGACATTAAAGTCGTACTTGACTACGCCCAGCGTCACGGTGTGATCCAGAGTATGACTGCCAACCTTTGACTGTTTACCTGGAATGGTTGCTGGACTCTTTGCAGACAGATATATGGTCCCAGCTTATAGGGAATATTTTAATGACTCGCACGAATCGAACTCCTGTTTAAGAACTATTCTTTTTAGCGTTTAACACACTGATTTATGTTAAAGAAACCCTTGATTGCATAGCACAAACTTTAACATTCGCAGCATTTTGTACATTAGACAACATTTCATCTCTTTTTCAAATTGGAACTGTTTAGATTGGACGCAGTTCGTGTCACCCAAAAACGCTTCGTGCGCTATAACGAAGAACGTAGTCTGACCTGATCGAATAAATTTGGTTTATTAGTTCTGAGTCATCAAATGCATAGTTTGATTACAAATTGTTAGAAACCATACTCACCCTGGCTTTGTTCCGGCACATTGGAGACCCCACCAGATATGACCTACAAAACTCTTCGTCCCTCTTGGACTTATTCTTCATATACGGGGATGATGTCAGCCAAGTGACCTCCTCCCACACCTTTGTGGAAAAGTGAGCATGTGATCATCTTATCCAAGTCCATGGCTGAGATTACCTGTGAAGCAGTTGCGACGCCACGTCCTAACATATGGAAGGCAGACATGAAGGCGGTAAACTTTGCAGCCTCGCCTGTTCACTGGAAAATCGACTCAGCAACATCAGCAGAAGAGGCATCGACTCATTTCAGGCATTTATACAATCAAGTGTCTCAACCATTTATACCCTGGACAGTCCCAAACAAGAAATACGGCTATCCTTGGATAGACAGAGATATTTGACACTTACTAAGACAAAAGAAACATTGGGACTTCACCATCAGTCTTGGAATAACAAATACGATGGGACGCCACAGGTCGATCCGAAACAAGTCTATTATCACAATGAAGACAGCAGGACAAAAATATGAAAAGCATTAAGCATAATCTGTAATGAAGCAGCCGAAGGTACTGTTCTCGTACATAAATTACAGAACATGCACGCATCATTGTATTCCCTACATAAATATTGAGGGGAGTACACCTTAAATGATAGAGGATGATCAGGACAAAGCAGAGGCTATGGCGAACAATTTTGGGGCAGCTTTCACTACGGACCTTTTTCTAGACGAAGAACTAGACCCAAATACAAAGTCACATAACCGGCTGCTCACAGTGGACTTCAATCAAGACGATTTTACTGACAGCCCTTACCACTTTAGAAACGGAAAATCAACAGGATCGGATAAACCGCACTCGAAATCAGTGGATATTGTCTACATAGACATCAGCAAAGTATCTTTTATAGTGCCGAAAAATATATTACTATTAAAGCCGGAAATCGTACCCACCAAGTTAAATCAAAAGACAGAAGCGAGAAGGTCCGAAGATATATTTGATAGGTTATCAATATATCGAGAAATGGCTGATCTAAACCGGCTGGCGACTGCATGGGATGTTGAGCACGGCGTCCCCACTCTTGATTTGGTGCGGATGCATGAACAAGCGCCTTCAGCTAGGCGAGTCAATTAAAACTAATGTGGTCAGCATCAAATGTCAAGAAGACTTACAGAGCTATTTATTTGGGAGATTTATTTACCGCTACAGATCACTCCCCAACTGATGGAGTAGTAATGACCCTAAAGCGTTGCCAACCTGAAGTCCAAACCCAACTAGTTTGTCATTGATAAACACTCCTATGACAGCTTGACATATTCGGAAGTATCTTGTCGTTTTTCCTTACTATAAGGAGCTATGTGGTACAATATAATAGTCTAGTACCTCAAGGTTCTGTCCTATGTCCTTCACTTTTTATACTGTATGTAAATGATCTCCTTAGTACAGTTGAGCCCCCAATACTACTACACACTAATGATATAAAAATCCAACTTGGAACAACAAGAGTCGCAGATGCATGCACACTTCAGGTGGACTTACATGTTCTGATCAGCTGGTCTAAAAAGTGGCCAAATATGTCCACACGCACTTCGGGGATACAAAGGTAGATAGGTACAGCATAGGAGAAGCGCCTATACCCGTGGTCTGGTCTCCCAAGAGTCTTGGGGTGGCACTGAGTCATGGTGTTAAGACCACAGCCCATTGTCATGAGGTTGCAACTAAGAGGTGTGGAGCCCTATGGGCTTTAAGTCGGACACTTACAAAGTTAGATACTAGTATATTCACCACTGTATACACAACCTCAGTGAGATCGGAACTCGACAACCGCTCTCAGGCTGCAAGCTCCTGTTTAAATGGTGTCTTGGATATCCCAGAAAATGTACAGAGGGAAGCTTTCCGTGCAATTCCAGAAATCTGGGGTTTACCATACAAATTGGCGGCTTGAGTAGCTAGACCTCCTTACGATGTCCTATCTCTGACTGAATGACTGACTGACTGATCGCGGACTAAGAGGTGATCTGAGCTTGATATGTGAATACCCGATGTATGCTCTCTTTTTCTTGCTGCCACATCAGGGCAACTCTAAATACACAGCAGGCTAGCGGAAGAACCAATGGCTAACAAAATACTAGCAGCACACATGTTTTCACACCGAGTCATCAGGTCACCTCTGAGACCTCTATACTCTTATTAACGAAGATGAAGTGATTCGAGGCCCTTGCCATAGGGTTTGAATTT